CACACACACACACACACACACACACACACACACACACACACACACACTGTTAGAAATAGCCAAATAAATCTTTTTTAAAAACCAACATTGACATTCAGTTATGCTTAACGTATGTACAAATGTTGAGAGGAGTTACAGTGTCAACTTAAAATACAAAGCCACACATGGAGCTCAGGAAGCACCATGACGGGAAAGAGCAGCAAAAGTACTTGCCCCTGTGCTTTGGCTCTGACCTCGATCAGGTTCTTTGTCCATTACTATCTTGTAGAAATAGAAGCCATAGATGAAGGTCCGCCAGGCTTCGCCAGATGCATGTGTTATGAGCTGCTCTTCCAACATTTTCTAGGAGAGACAATGAAAACCTGAAATCCCTACAGCTGGCATCTCAAAGAAGAAGCCCTTGCTTGTGCATAGCAGTCAAGATAGTTAAGTGACAGGAGAATGGAGTTCACACCCTGGTCCCCATTACACACTGAGAATGTGCTATGTGAAACTGAGCCTGTTCTAAGTTATGAGATTTACATATTTCATCAAACACTTTAAACATACAGAAAGTGGAGAAAAACTCCAAGTAGATAGCCATCTAACCTCAATACATTCAACGGTCTACTAGGCAGTATGCTCCTCTTTTAGGAATGTCTCCCAAGATTCCTAAAGGGTTGTGGTGCACACCCCTATAATCCCTCTGGGAAGGTGGAGGCAGGAGGATGAGGACTTCAAGGCCACCTTGGTTCACTGACAGCTAGCAGACTGTTAAAGAACTAATCCAGTGCTCCTGTGCGTCTTCTTTTTCCCTCACCAGTGCTTCTTAAATCATTCTCTAAAACAGAAAGGGAAATGACATCACCAAATTCTTTCTGTGGTTTTTAATCCTGTGCTCATAGATTAGAAGAACTAATATGAAAAATGCTTATTTTACCAAAAGCAATCTACAGATCCAATGCAATACCCATTAAATACCAATGCCATTCTTCAGAGAAGTAGGAAAAAAAATTTTAAAATAAATATGGAAGGATAGACAGCCAATGTAATATTGAGTACAAAGCATTAATGCTGGAGGGATGACCATACCTGACTTCAAGTTATGCTACACCACCTCACTGACACACATACAAAAAAACCACAGAGCAGTGAAATACAATAAAGGAACCAGATATAAACCCACGTAGCTATAACCACCTGACTTTTTGCAAAGATGGCAAAATACTCACTAAAGACAGTCAGCACTGGGAAAGCTGAGATCACCATATGTAAAAGAAAGAAATTATATTCCTATCTCTTACCCTGTATAAAAATCAACTCCTGCTGGATCAAACTTAATGCAAGACATGGAATTCTGAAACTCTTAGAGGAAAAGGCAGGGAAAATACCTAAGATCTAGGCATAGGCGAGGTCTTCCTGAATAAGACTTAGGAGATAATGCCAACAACTGACAAACAGGACTTCATGAAACTACAAACTGAAAGACCTCTGCACAGCCGAGGGGCAGTAAGTGGAGACAGACTACAGACAGGAGAAAACCTCAGCTCAGTACACATCTGACAGGGAAATTGTGTCTAAAATTTGAAAAAACCAAAAATAAAAACACCTACAACAACAAATCCAACAACTCCATCAATAAATGGACAAATGAAATGCACAAAGACGTCTCAAAAGATGAAATGCAAAATGGCCAATAAATGTCAAAAATGTTTAGAGAAATATGAATTAAAACTACATAAAGAGGTGTTGGAGAGATGGCTCAGTGTTTGAGAGGAATGACTGCACTTGCAGAGGACTGGGATTCAATTCCCAGCACCCACATGGCAGTTTACAACTGCCTGTAATTCCAGTTGCATATATATATATATATATATATATATATATATATATATATATATATATATATATATATATATGGAAAACACTCATAAATATAATGGTTTTAATATCAAACAAACAAAAACTATATATAGGTTCTACCTTATCCCAGTCAGGAGAGCAGTCATTATGCCTGGGTGTGGTGCACATCTCTGTAGTCCTAGTGTTTGGGGAGGTGAAAGCAAGAGGAAAAGGTCAAAGAGAAGGCTCAGTGGTTAAGTGCCCTTGCAGAGGACCCGTGTCAGGTGGCCTACAACACCTCCAGGTGATCTGATACCCTCTTCTGGCCTCTGCTGATATCTGCACACATCTGCCTACAGACAGACAGGCAGGCAGACATACACACAGACAGACAGATAGACATATACACACACACACACACACACACACACACACACACACACACACACCCCAATAAGAAATAAATCTTAAGGAAAAAACCTACAAGCATAAAAAAAAAACAGGTAATGGTTCTGGAGAGATGGCTCAGTGGTTAAGAGAGCTAGTTGCTCTTGTAGAAGACCTGGGTTCAATTCCCAGTATCCACATAGCATCTCGCAACCACAAATTCCAGGTGATATGAAAGCCCTCTTTTAGCATCTGCACACACTGGCACACATACATACATCTAAACACACACACACACACACACACACACACACACACACACACACACACGTTTGGTAAAATTAAACAAGTAACAAATGCTTGCAAAGATGAGGGCAAAAGTGGATCCTATACACGGCTGGTGAGAAGATAAACTATTCCAGCCACCGTGGACGTCATTATGAAGGGACATCAAAAGATGGGAAAATACATCCCCATACCACCCAGCTACCCCACTCCTGGATATTTACTCAAGGGACTCCGAGTCAGCAGCATATCAGAGATGCCTGCACAGCAATGACTACTGCAGCACCATTCACAGAAGAAGAGATGCAGTACCAACTGAAGAGTCCATCAACAGAGAAATGCATAAAGAGTTGTGGTGTGTATACACAATGGAACTGTTTTTATCCATAAAAGAAAATAAAGTTATACTGACACAACTGGAGATAATCACATTAAGTAAATTAAGCCATCCACAAAAAGAAATACTTTGTGTTTTCTCTTGAGGCTCATAGTATGTAAAATCATGCATGTATATATGTCATGAGAGTAGAAAGTGTCTAGGGAAACAAAGGTGACTAATATGAGAGTTAAGTGGGGAAAGGAGAAAGCAGTAGTTCAGGTGGAGATAAGCTTAAGATATATGGGGGCCGGAGAGATGGCTCAGTGGTTAAGAGCACTGTCTGCTCGTCCCAAAGGACCCGGGTTCAATTCCCAGCACCCACAACTGTCTATAACTCCTGTTCTAGGGGACCCTCTCACACATGCAGACAAAACACCAATGTACATTTAAAAAAAGATACAATATATGCTTATGCTTGTATGAAACATTTTTTTAAATTTTAATTAAACTGTTGTTTTGATGTTTTGTCTGTGTGAGGATGTTGGATCCTGAAGTTATAGATAGTTGTGAGCTGCCATGTGGGTGCTGGAAATTGAACACAAGTTCTTCAGAAGAGCAGTCAGTCCTCTTAACTACTCAGCCATCTCTATAGGTCCTTTTTTGGTTCTTTTGAGGCAGTGTTTCTGTGTAGCCCTGGCTGTCCTGGAAGAACTCAATATGCATTTTTT